TTCCATACGCCACTCCACCCCACCCCATCCCGTCCCATCCCCATCCCACTCTCTCCATATGCCACTCCACTCCACTCTCTCCATATTCCACTCCATTCCATTCATTGTTTTTTTTCTTCTGGGAGGTGCATTTTGTGCTCAGGGATCTTTCTGAGCCCTTTATAAAGGTAGCATTACACAGCACTTTTTATTATAGCAGCTCATGGAATAAGAGATAAAAACTGAGAATATTCCTGTACTTTGGAGGTCACCCTCCGAAGCCCCTTCTAACGGAAGATTAAATAGGAGAAGATGCTCAGATTGCCGTCTTATGCTTTATGGAAGCTGGATGGGTTTCACCATATCTACATTTTAAACACTGGAGTAAACTTGACAAGCTTGTGCATGCTTGAATTGTGAAGACACAAATGGTAGCTACATGACTTGGATGACCTTGTCAATGTATCTTAGAAACAACAAAACCTTTCTTGAAATCAGGAGATCAAATGATAATTTGCAAAGTATCTCTTCCTAATATGAGATTAGATGAATCTTGACAAGACACGTGGACTTCAACCCCCCACTGTATTCCTTACCCTCCTGCACCCAGGAAAAATCTGTTGGGAGACTGCATGGTAGGTTTTGATCAGCCAAAAAGGCTATGAAAACAGCAGGAAATTAATTGGCATTGTGCAAACTAAGAAGAAATGCAGTTAGGCTTTTAATTCCTTCCAAAACCCTCTTGCAATGAATGGATCAAACCTGGTTGATCTCCCCAAAAGTGGGCCTTGCACCTATGGGGAAATGCAGAAGAGGAGGATCTATTTATTCGATTCTGGCTGATCCTATAAAAGCTAAACAGGATTGGACCTGGTTAATGGTTAGTGCATGGGAGGCTAAGGACTTCTAAGGACTGTATACAAGAAAAGGAAGTGGAAGAAAATGGCAGAAGAGGAGGATGGAAAGATGGTTGTAGGGTTGCCAAGAAAACTTCCAGGCTGTGCCGATGAAGTCATCAGAAGTCAAGCATGACTCAAAGGAAAGTCTCCCTTTTTTTGCCCCTGTGCTTTAAGAAGAAAACAACCTCACAGGAAACCTGTTAACACAATCCTATTTTAGTCAGAAGTCTGGAAAAGAATGCATGGTTAGTTTTAGATTTATATAGATGTGTGTGCGAAACTTGCTGGTGCAGTTTAGTTTCAAAATGTCTGTTCTGAAATCTAGCTACTTTCATTTTGACTATATTTGGTAACTTTATATAGCTTTATAAAACCTCCAGAGTCACAGCCAAAGAGAATGATCCATGCAGCTCAGCGTTGAAATGAGCGGTCCTTGGTGCTGTCTGAGCTTGGTTGCTCTCTTGCAGATATTTCATTACACAAACTAGGTCACTGGGTAATGAAATATTTGCAAGAAAACAACCAACCTCAGAGAGCACCGAGGAACCCTCAAAATAAAACCATCAACCGGCTCTTTGGACAATATTTTCTAAGAATGAGTTCCTGAATTGTGTTTTTGTAAAGACTTTTTGTAAATTGTTAAGATGCCTGCACTTACTTCAGAAATAGTTTTAGAGAAGTGGATTTTTCAAAAATGAAAATGTCCATCCAAAAGTTTCCTTAGGCTGTTCCATGTAAGCATGAGTCTGTTTTGATGCCATAAAGTGTTTATTTATGTAACAAATGTATATGGCGAGTCAGAATTCCTTTTGGTAGAGTTGGGTGGGCATATCAATTGGTTTAATAAATAAGTAGGTGCTTTATATGTGATGCAGAGGTTTTGAGGAGCGGTGCCAGGTTGAATTGTTCTTGCCCCAACTGAGTTTTTGAGATATCAGTTCCCACTTGAAGTTCCTACCTTTAAGTACACCATAACTGAGTAAAAAGGAAGTGAGTGATGTAGAAATACGAGTAAAGGAGACCTTGTTGATTTATGAATATACAAAGATATATGTATCTGTATTGGTAGTTTAGATGGAGACATGGTGGCTTTTTGGAACCCATTGGCTAAAGTCCTTAGTTGAGCAGAAGTAAGAATTGTGCCTGAATTTCCCCTGGTCTAACTCAACAGTTTGTTCACTATAAAAAAAGGGCCATTACATAACAAAATAAGAAACCTGTGCAAATGAGCAGTGCAGGATCAAGAACATTCAAGAGGTTGGATGACCCCAGCCAGCATGGCTGGCTCAGGAATTCTGGGAGTTGAAGTCCACAGGCCATAAAGGGGCCACAGTTGCTCATCCCTGGCCTAGCCCCAAATTATCCGTGTCAACACTTGAATAGAATCTTGAACGTTGCTTGTGACTCTTCGGGGCTATTCCCTTTCCCCATTTATTTAGTGGTCTGAAAAGGAGTCCTTGCCTTGAATAATAAACCATTTTCTTCTTTTCTTCTATAAATTTGCAGTCCAAGCGGGAAGAAGTTCCGAAGCAAACCCCAGTTGTCCAGATACTTGGGGAACACGGTTGACCTCAGTAGTTTCGACTTCAGGACAGGGAAGATGATGCCAAGTAAATTGCAGAAGAACAAACAGAAATTAAGGAACGATTCGCTCAGTCAAAACAAGGTTTGCTTGCAAGCATGCTTTATAAATATGTTCATTGCAAAATCTTTGAAAACAAAAAAAGGGAAAGAAACATCTATTCGCTGTTTTTAACAATCCCCTTGATAACTTTGCATTTACCTTGATCAGTGATGGGAGTGTGCAGATTTTAAAGCAGTATTTGAGAGGGGTAAAATAAGTAGGTTTAAGACTGAAATACCATATGGGAAATAATTTGAAACCTGGTACATGTTCCTTAAGAACCAGTTTGGTGTAGTGGTTAAGCATCAAGTTAGAAACTGGAAGACCGTGAGGCTCAATCACTTTCTCTCACCCTAGGAAGGAGGCAATGGCAAACCATTTCTGAAAACTTGCTAAGAAAACTGCAGGGATTTGTCTAAGCCAGTGGTGGTGAACCTATGGCACGGGTGCCAGAGGCGGCACGCAGACCACTCTCTGTGGGCACGCGCGCCGCCACCCCAGTCCTAGGCCTTCAGCTGGGTTTCATAAAACCTTTTCGCTTTAGGCCTCCACCGCCGTATGCAAAAAAACCAACAACGGTTCAATCAGTCAATTTCAATTTCTCGTGGGGGAAAAAAAAGATCTTGCAAGTTGGAATTGATTGATTGAACTTTTTAGTCCTACCCAGTCTGCCGTTACCACCGCAGCCACGCCCACCCAATGGGCCACACCCACCCAATGGGCCACACCCAGCCAATGGGCCACACCCACCCGGCAACCGACGATGCATAAGTGGGTTTTGGGTTGCAGTTTGGGCACTCGGTCTCTAAAAGGTTCGCCATCACTGGTCTAAGCAGTTTCTGAGAATGTGGACATGATTGAATGGAAGAAAAAAAAGTTGCTCCTAACTGAAAAAAAGAAGGACTAGGGGTGACAGGATAGCAGACTTCCAATATCTAAGGGGCTGCCACAAAGATGAGGGGGTCAAAGCACCTGAAGGCAGGACAAGAAGCAATGGATGGAAACTAATCAAGAAGAGAAGCAATCTAGAACTAAGGAGAAACTTCCTGACAGTTAGAACAATTAACCAGTGGAACAACCTGCCTCCAGAAGCTATGAATGTTCCAACACTGGAAGTTTTTAAGAAGAGACTGGACAGCCATTTGTCCGAAATGGTATAGGGTTTCCTGCCTGAGCAGGGGGTTGGACTAGATGACCTCCAAGGTCCCTTCCAACTAATAATAATAATAATAATAATAATAATAATAATAATAATAATAATAATAATAATAATAATAATAATAATAATAATAATAAAAGTACAAGTCCTAGAATAATAAAACTAGTTCTTAACTGAAAAGTATAGCTGGACCGACCATATAGTTGGATTCCATTATACATTAAAAAAGAGAGAGGAAGGAGATGTTATGTCCCATAACCAGATTTAAATACGACGTTGCCAATCAGACAAACAGCTTCTATTTTTAAGCAGCCTGTAACCAAAGTTACCAATCATCCTAACAATAAAGTGAAGTCTGATCCACAACGAGTGATTGAACAGCCTAGACAGGTAATTTGTGTTGGGTGCTGATAGACTTCCTTTTTTTTTTATGTGTTCTAGAAGAATCATGTTGAAAATTTATCTTAACGTAAAACTTTATTGAGTCCATCACTTTGGCACTAATGAAAGCAAAACCCACTCGGGCAAGATACCCCCCTCCAAACCCGTATAGTAAAAGCATTGAATTCTCCCTCCTCCCTCTGGGTCAGGTCACATTGCCCATCAAGTGGAAAAATATTGTTATGAGAAAGCATCTCTAGGTTTGGCGTCTGGCTTCTTAATCTTTGAAGTCTGCATTCCAAAATGCTCTCCTCCCACCCCCCCGCCCCCCAAGTTTGTTGGTAAGCTGAGAAGCAATATTTGTCGCACCAGCAAAACCGTGCTTCAAAATTTGACAGGGAGACTGCACCTTCCAGAATTCTCTTCCTGTGTCGTTTCTAAATCATAAAGGTCGGATCAAATACAGGTAGTCCTTGACGTACGACCACAATCGAGCACAAAATTACTGTTCCTAAGTGAGAAATTTGTTAAGTGAGTTTTGCCCCATTTTAGGACTTGTCTTGCCACATTTCTTAAGTGAATCCCTGCAGTTGTTAAATTAGTAACATGGCTGCTGTGCGAATGTTCCCCATTGACTTTGCTTGTCAGAAGGTTGCAAAAAGGGATCACATGATCCCAGGACTCTACAACCGTCATAAATATGAACCAGTTGTCAAGCATCCAAATATAAATCACATGACCGTGGGGATGCTCCAACGGTCATGTGTGAAAAATGGCCATAAGTCACTTTTTCCAGCACCGTTGTAACTTCAAACAGTCACTAAATGAACTATTGCAAGTAGAGGACTACTTGTAACTTTTTTTCAGAATAATAACATTCCATATTTTTAAATTTATTAAGATTGGGTGAAACAATCAATTACTTTTCTTAGGTGATTATTTCTGTAGTATCGGAAGTGTTGGCTTGAGTTCTTTGGAGGACTAGGCCATTATAAAATAGGTTTGCTTCATTTTCATGCAGAAGTTCTTAGAATTGTCCCACTTTAGAATCTCAAATATTCTTCCCCAATAGGGTGTTTTTCATGCTATCTGGAAACAATGAAAGAGACAGATTAGCTGAAGGTTCCCAGATTGAAAATGCTGGTCTAATACATTGGGAGGAATCCCAAGGAGATACATGTCCTATTAGTTCTCCTTTGGATTCAGCTCATCTTTTATATTCTTGCCAAGAATGAACTGTGGTTGCAATAAGGATTAAGCTTGGACCTTCAGTGATTTATCTTATTACACAAAGTAGTGTGTGTATCCTTATGGAATTGAATTATGGCACGCATAATAATAATAATAATAATAATAATAATAATAATAATAATAATAATAATAATAATAAAAAAAAAAAGTTGGAAGGGACCTTGGAGTCATCTAGTCCAACCCCCTGTTCATACAGGAAACCCTATACTATTTCAGACAAATGGCTGTCCAGTCTCTTCTTAAAAACTTCCAGTGTTGGAGCATTTACTGCTTCTGGAGGCAGGTTGTTCCACTGGTTAATTGTTCTAACTGTCAGGAAGTTTCTCCTTACTTCTAGGTTGCTTCTCTCCTTGATTAGTTTCCATCCATTGCTTCTTGTCCTGCCATGAGGCGCTTTGGAGAATAGCTTGACTCCCTCTTCTTTATGGCAACCCCTGAGATATTGGAACACTGCTATCATGTCCCCCCTCATCCTTCTCTTCATTAAACTAGACATACCCCAATCCCAGCAAACGTTCCTTATATGTTTTAGCCTCCGGACCTCTAATCATCTTTTTTGCTCTTCTCTATACTCTTTCTAGAGTCTTATTTTCTTCTTCTCATTGGTTACTCTGCTAAAAAAATCATTTGGTTTCTTCCAACTTAATATGAGTAATTTTGAGCTGCAAGAGGAATCCAGTTGGTTGATAGACATCCCCCGCCTGAGATTCAGGTTGTTGTGGTTATGAGGCCAACCAGATGTGGGACTGGTTCAAGCTATGCTTCTCAACCTTGGATCTCCAAATGTTGGATGTCAGAGTACCTGTAATTTTCCATTTAGAAGAATTTCATATGATAGTCTGGAAAACAAGCTCTTACCATCAGTGCAGCCAACCAGACAAATGTTTGGATGGCTTATTGATGCCCTTAAATGCAAGGTCTGTCATAATAGATTCATTAAGATGTGTTGAAGACTACTCCCCCCACAAAAGAAGACCACTTGGCATAAACTTCTATATCATTTCATCCCACTCTTTACTAACCCTGTAAAGAGTTTACATCGGTTTAGCAACCAAGTGAAATAAATGATTAAAAGAAAAAAAAAAACGATACAGACTCTCTGGAAGTCATTCCGTGCTAGTAAATGCCTACCTTTCTCTTTTATGTCCAAGTATTGCTCCGCACCAGGATTCAGGATAGATTTTTTACGTGTTCTAGAATTATAAAGGCATTATTACTGTAGCTATAGCTGCCGGTGCATTTGGGAAGCGTGCCCTAGCTTTTCAAACCAGTTTATGAAGAGAACATTGAACTGGGAGCCACGAGTTGGACAAAAATGCTCAAAAGGAAGCATCGTTCAGGTTAAACTGCTCTCCCTTGAATTATAAGAATATTCTGAAGAGTGAAAAGGGCCTGGTTTAAATATCCATTCTTCTCGCGAAGTTCTTCCACAGCAGAGCTAAGCCTGAACTAAGCCTTGAGGGCTGGATATTCAATATTATTCAAATTATACCTTTTTGAAATGAGGCAGCTTTGCTCAGCATGAAAATGCCTTCCAAGAAGCTTTACTGAGTACTTAAAAGACGTAGGCCATATGTCTTCATCTCAGTGTGCATAACTTTTGCATACGGTAATGCAAACTTAGAAATATTTATTGGGATGTACATTGTACAAAAGGATAAAGGCAACTCATTTCCCATCCAGATTGTACTCAAATGATTTCAGTTAATTGACATCCTGCACACACTGAGATGCAGTTTGGTTCCTCTTCATGTGTTCCCATCTGGGATTGGCAGGTGGGAATGAGGACAAGAGCTTCTGATTTCCTGATGGATGTGCCCAGGGCTTCAAACACTCCAGGGGAGTCTTCATTTTCTTTGCATCTGGTCACCCAAGATTCTGCTTCAACACTCTTTTAATTCCATTTTAATTAATTAATCAATCTCAGACCATTTCTTGAAAGCGGCCATCAAATTTAATTTATTCTTTCAAATGAATGTGTACCACTTGGATTAACACATCTTCCTGTTTTACCACCCAACAGCATAGGGCCAAACAGAATCCTGAGCATTCATTTATGACTATAGAGGTTTTGATAAAAATTGATTTACGGCTAACCTAAGTAGGAAGGGGGTGATATAATTTTCCCCGGATTTTTTTTTTTTTTTTGCGGTTGCAAGCCATTTAGGATGCAATTCAGTAAACTTTATTGAGATTAAAGGAAATAAAATTTATGAACAGAGATGCTTAAGTTTTTTAAAAAAATAACAGCAGTCTTTCTAACCATGCTATGAGTCCATGGGGTAGGAAGCCAGAAACTGCAATTGGCTTTTGACTGCACTAACCTGCCTTGGAATATTTAAACAAATAATAGGCTTGGAGAAAAAAAAAAAGCTAGTTTGGATGTAAATTATCAGATGAAATTGAATTAATTAAGCCTACCTGAACTTGAAAAGTTACACAGAATTGGACCTGGTTACTATCTGAATCAGTAAGAAGTACGAGTAGACCTCAGTTAGTGACTTCCTTGTTTAGCAACCATTCACAGTTACGACAGTGATGAAAACATAGCATTATGACCAATGTTCACCTTTATGACTTTCACAGGTCTCTAAAGTGAAGGAACACTTAAGTAAGATCATGAGAACTGTTGCTGTTTCACTTAGCTGTTACTTCACTTAATGACCTAGTTGCCAGTCCCAATTGTCATCATTAAATGAGGATTACCTATATCCCAGTCAAAAAATAATGAAACATTTCAAGAAAAAAAGGCCAACCATCTCCATACTGTGGCATGGAATTTCCATGCAGGTGTAAACCTTGAGTCTGACTCCAGTGAGATTTTATCTTAGCCTAATACTTGACAATGAAGTCAACAAATCCCCCTCCCCCCACCTCTTCTATACACTCAGAATTACGATTTGTGGAAGCTTCTGGACAAGCTTTAAAGTTGAAATGTGTTTGAATATTAGTAGCTCAGGTTGGTAGTTGTGCTGTTGCTTTGAGCTCCAAGCTTGGCAATTTGGTTGCAAATGTTTCATCACCATTCGAAGGGACGTCATCAGTGCGCTTTGAATTGTGCTTGTCTGTCAGAGCACTGGCCTTTAAATACCTTTTTATATGATGCAAATTGGTATGAGTGTTATTTGTTCAAATATTTCTGAGCCATGGTCTGATTTTGGGCTGTTTGATTGGATGGTTGTTGTTGCTGGGCTGCAACCTTTGGTGTTACGTACCGTCTGTGTGATGCAAAATAGCGTTAGTTTTATTTGTTCAGATGCTTCTGAGTCATGGTCTGGTTTTGGATTGTTTGGTTGGCTGGCTATTGTTACCAAGGTGTGGTCCAATTTCTTGTGAAGGGTTATGATTTCCGTTGCTGCATGGTGGGATGGCTGTTTGTTCATTTTTAAATGCTACCTTTGGGATTGTGGTTCGAGTAGTTCTTTCACTCTCAGTGATTGGTAGACCGGGTCGATGTCAATGTGTCTGTTTATTGAATTATTGGTGGAAAACCAAGCTTCAAGATACTCTCTTTCTGTCCTTGATTTCACATGAGCTACAACAGTGGTCCCGGGTAGAACAAATGTGTGTCCTTCTGAGTCTTTGTGGATGGACATCAGGGATAGTGGGTCATGTCTTTTGAGAGCCAGGAAGTTTTAAAGTCCACTTTTAAAGTGTTGATGACCAAGGTCTTCCAAATCAGCAAATACTATGTTAGACACCTTTGAGACACAGACATTATTTTTCCAGCCAACATTAGCTAGGAGGTTGTTTGATTT